ATATGTTTAGCTTTATCATGCAGTCTTGTTAAAATGGCAAACTCGCATGATCTTGTGAGTTTGGATAACCATGTGAATTGATGTGGAGGGTGGATTGTAAACGGTGCGGATCACAGCGAGTTTGTGAAGATGCTTACTGAATTGGGGATTGTGGGCTGTCTCGATCCTTTTGGTCCTTGGATTGACTCAACCTATGAGAAGCCCAACACTCTTACCTTTTTTCTGCTAGGGTTACCTTTGCACACATAATCAGAGGAGAAGACCCACATAAAGAGTGTTTCAAGAGTGCTGACCATTGTTGACAACCCTCACAGTCTCTGATCCTCTTTGCCTTTGTAGTCACCGATGCTGGGTTGCCTCTTGGCTAGCGATTCTTAGCCTTTGTTCTTCTACTTTTTACTTTGCTCCCGCCTCTCTTCCTTTTGGGGCTCCTTTTACTGATATGGTTGCCTTGGTTGTTTTTATGGCGGACTTATGTACTAAATTTTAGTACTTAAGACTTATTATTATTATTGTTATTACTATTTTGTATGAGTTATTTTTATTATTTATATTATTTTTCATAATACACCTGTTAATGAATATCAATTGCAATCCAAAGGAAAGTCCTATTTAGTTTGAGACAATTGAGAGAGTGAACAATGTGTTTGTCCCACACATAATCAAAACAAAAGGGAAACTGAACTTTGTTAGGAAATTTGATATTACATTGTCAAAAGACAAGACCTAGAACATTCAAACCAGAGTGTCCTAATCTGAGATGGGAATTATAGCCAGCACCTGACAACATTATTATAACAATCAGAAACAATTTTTGTACAAGCAATGTACTGAGAATTGGACAAATTTGTAGCTGAGGAGAGGGACAGACTGTAAAACTGTTTGAGCTTGTCAGGACCAACATGACTTTTGAAGGTCATTGGAATCCTGAGTTTTAACAAAACACTTGTTAGATTGAAACTAAAAATATACATAATTGTCATGAGGGACATGTAACACCACACAGCCTGAGGTTGTTTCCACTGAGATGGATTAGATTGACAATATTGCTGAAATCAGATGGAACCTCCAAGGTTTGACAACTGATGCAGCGGATTGGAGAAGAAACATTTCTGTTAAGAATTGTGGAGGAAACCTTGAAAAGGGATCGATTTGCTCTGGATACCTTATATGTTAATTTTGTAAGATTGAGTTAGACCTAAATCCGCTTTCCAAGATGAATTATGAGACTATTAACATAAGACTATATAGAGCTCAAACCCATGTTAGTTGTAGCTGTTTACTGAAATGGTTACTGTTTGGCAGAAGCAAGTACAACATGTTGAGAATAAGATAGGGTTGCATGTTTATTATAGAATGAAGTTTAAAGACAATAACTAAGAATACAGTTATAAGGTAGTTTTTTCAGCTTAATGTTTAGGGGGAAAGAGGGGCAGTTTTTGAGAATTGGGTTTTGTAACTGGAATAATCTAGTGGGAAGGATAGGGCTCCTCTGTATCTTTTGCTATATGACTGGTGAAATTAGAGAAGTCGAGATGTTCTTCTCTTAGGATAATATTGGTTCCTAACACTTACACTAACCAATAGTGTTACGTATCTGAGTACGTAAACTAGCCAAATACAACCTTTCACACTCTCTCACACGTAATAGAATAATAAACGAATAACAATGGATGAATGAATCTCTTTTATTGATGGTAATATCTGAATAAACAAGGGTAAACAATAATTGGGAGCATAACCTCCTTCCATTACTTTGAGAGCATAACCTCCCTCACAAGACAATAATGTCTGTCACAAAACTCAATAATCAAAAACATACCTTTAACCCTAGACTCTAACTTTATTTATATTCATTATTTCCCGCACATCTCTTATTAAATATTTCCCTAGAATATATCTGCATTTAATATAAATATTATCCTAGCATATATCCTTAATTATAAATATCTTATATTGAATATTTCTCTGAATATATATTTATTTACTCTAATTAACTTATACTATATTTATTTACTCTAATTAACTTATACTGAATATTCTCTCTGCTCCCCATCGTTCGGTTTGGTCGCTCCCCGTTGTCCACCGTTCGGCCTAACCTCTCCATGCCTCCCACCGTTCGGCCTTTACGGTCAATACCGTTCGGCCTCGCTTCCCCTTTTGTCCATTGTTCGGCCTAACCTCTCCATGCCTTCCACATTTCGGCCTTTACGGTCAATACGGTTCGGCCTCACTTCCCTCCTACCTTTCTTCTCCTTCTCATTACCTCCCACCTTATACCCTAATAAATAGTCTAATAGAACACTTTTGTCATGAATGAACCAAAGTTGGACTATTAATTAAATGGGATCATCGTATTTTGGTAAAAAGTTTTGAAGGGACCAAATTTCTGAAATAATGATAATAGAGGGTAAAATCTAAGCCCATTTTTTTATGCTTATTTTCAATGTAAAGATACTCCCTTTAAAGGTTCAACTGTACATTTTAGATGAGATTAAAGAGACAACAAGAGGAAAATAATTTGAAGAGGAAGGAGAAGGCCGAGGCTCACTTGTACACCATCATAAAGGTTAAAACCCTATTTTTATTTCTCTATTACTTTTGGCCCCTTTATTAAATGCATTGTAAGATGAGAATAAATGCCTAGTTATTTATTCATTGGTGTCAGGTTGCTTGTGATGAAGATCTCCGTGAGCAGATTGGAAATGATATATTCTTTGATCTTGTGGATCATGATAAAGTTCGAAGTGTTCGTATTCAAAAACAAATGCCGTTTTTATTTTTCAAGGTATGAGCTATAATTTATTTTGTCATATGCAATAAGCTTGGTGCATGTGAATTATGTCTCGGGAATCTCTAGAATTACGGTATTGTTAGAAATTACACACGCACACATCCACACATATGCACTTTTTATGTGTACACACACACACATATACTGTAGTTAGTGAACTTGAGCTGTATGTAGTCATTTAATTTATCTCAAAAATTGATTCCTTTTTGCCACAAAACCCTTTGACTGTAGTGGCACCCATTTGATATACGTTTATGTTACAATATTTAACAAAAGTTTTGGAGTGACATATTATCTAATGTGTTTGTATTTGTTTGATCCACACTTGATTTTCACGAGACTCTTAAATTTTTCTCTTATCAGTGCTAGGATATAGGGTATTTGGAAATAATGGGAAAGGGGATTAGGATAGAAGGCAGAAGAAATGTATAAATAGATTGATTGGATTGTTAGAAGGGGTTTTTTTAGTACATTGTTTGTTGACAGGCCTTAGACCTGTGAAGAGGGTTATGCCTCTGAATTCTTTCTGTACAGATACTCTTACTGGAAATAATATTCAGTTTTCTCTCTTTCTTGTGTCTTCTTGGTGAGTGAGAGAGTCTTTGATTAGGTTCCCAATTCAGGAACCTATCAATTGGTCCGACCTGGCGGATGAATTTCGGTGAGGCAGCGTTCGTTAGCGATGGAGGGAAGAGTGGTGGCGGTAGAAGGACAGTTGGAGGCGGTGGAAATTGCAATAGCAGAGACGAAGGCTAATACGATGTTTCTGCGGCATGAAACAGGGGCCTTAGNTGGCTGGCATGTTTCTATTAGCTTAATGTTAGGTATATTATATTGATTTATAAGCTTAGTAATTAGGGATTTTGAAGACTGATCTTTCTGTTTTCTTCGATACTGTGGATGCTGGTTTAGGATACTCCACACGTGTCCCTACATGTGTAATGTTTGCAAAATTCAAATGTAGATATATTTTTTATGTCTGATAATATATAATAGGAAAGAGTAGTGTTATGAATAAATAATGTGCTATAGGTGTGGAGTGACCTTGTAGTGCTCCGTGACTTATATTGTGTAATGTTTCTCAGCTCTTGTGGTAGCAGCTGCTTTCTTGGCAAATTGTCATTATAGCAGCTGTTACCTTGGTGGGAAAAATTTATTCTTTACTCGCCTGTTTTCTGAGTTATAGAATCCATTTGTTTGTTTCTCAGTTTTTAATATTTTTGTAATTTGGGATGGTTTTATTTTCCAAAACAATTAGGATTTATGCTATGATCCGAAGAACACCCTGTGACCTCTAGTTTGTTTTCAGCTTCTGGCCTCTGTTCTCCCTTTGATCTGTGCTGTAAATATTTCTTTGTTGTCTGTTCATGCATCACAACACAGTTCCATTAGTTTTTTATCTGTTTGCATCCGTTGCTTGTGCATCTGTTTTATTTAATTTCATGCTGCTCTTGTTTTACTGTTAATGAAAATTGTGTATTTTGTTAACTTCCACCCCCCCTCCTTTGGTCTCTATGAAGTGTTAAGGTATGTAATGTGGTCTACTTACCCAAAAAATCTAATGTATTCTGTTTTTATCTATTAATTTTATTTTTATTATTTCATTTATCTGTTCTTATTCTATTAATTATGGAGCTGCCATTTATTTATGAGTATTTATCTATTTTTCCCATTTTTTGTAATCATTCGTGTTTATCTCATCTACATTCTTTATTGTAGTGGTTATTGCAGTATCTGCTATTCCAAAAATAATGCTACTGTAATTTGCTACTCGGATGTGTGTTGGGGAGGGGGGTGGTTTAAAAACTATTCAGTGTTATCTTTTTTTACTTTATTTTTTTTAAATTATAGAACTTTTAACTATAATTCTAAAGATGTAGTATTATAAATGTAACCTATTTATCTTATGAGGAGTGCTAGTAGTACACTCTCTAACACACTCTTTCTACCACACACTCTTTATAATTTATTGAAGACTACAGAATCAGGAAAGGGACATTAAAAAGTTGCAAAATCCACTAAAATTAGTTTTCTTTTTTTCATTAAATTTCAGCCAATAGGGGAGATGTTTTCAAAAGAATGTGTTCAAGAGTTTGTTGCTAGCATTTCTCTTATTTTTTTGAGACATGTTTTTTCTATTTTATGGAAGTTTGAACACATAGTATTCTTTCTTTCAAAATTTCATCTGATTACTTTTTCAATGTTTTTCTAATAAAGATTTATTTATGCTGTGGTGCCGTAACTGTTGTAGGTTGGACTCTTAAGAGAAATTTCCAATAGATCAAATAATGCAGAGCTAAAGTTGTTTTTGGAACTAGAAATAGGGAAGGTAATGTTCTTCTGGTAATTTAATCTTCCTGGATAGTGTGGTGGTGACCACTAAATATTATATATTCTTCCATCCCCTTCTAAGTGAGTCACAACTGACATGGATATATTACCTGCACCTTGCACAATGAATCAGGATTTGCAGCCTATTCCTCCTCCTGAGAAGTCAAAAGAGAATCTGTTGCTTTTCTTTAAACTTTATGAGCCTTCAAATGAAAAGCTTAGGTGCGTGCAATTCCTATTACTTTTCATAGGTAAATCTACATTTTATTATTGAAATGTTTATTCATTTCTTTCTTCAGGTATGTTGGACGGCTCTTTGTGATGTTCAGTGGGAAGCCAGTAGATATATTGGTAAAACTAAATGAAATGGCTGGATATGNGACCCGTACCATGTTCCTGTATAACAAAGGAATTAGCAGTAAAGGTTACAGAACAATTTAAGGAACGAGTCAATTGTCTTAAGGAGATTAAACTTTGGATCCATTGGCAACAGTAATGAAATGAGGGGTTTTCGGAGAGTACATGGAAGAAAATGAAGAAATATTACCAGAGATATGGTCTGAGGCACCTGAGTCAAGGATCCTTGGGCTATGACCTTCCACAGCAGGCAGTTGACACATTGGACATGGATGAGGATTGGTCAGGATTAGAGGATTTTCCAGACTTGTACCTCAAAAATTCTTGGTACTCTTCATTTGAAATTTTGGATTCTAGATCATCATATTTAGAAACATGAGCAACTTTGTCTGGATATCCATGTAAGGCATAACATTTCTCTCGAGTATGGCCTATTTTCTTACAATATGTGCATTGAGGACGCATACTATGACCACCACGTCCTCCTCGGTTGCTTCTTCCTCCTTCTCTTCCTTGTGGTGCTACCATAACTGATGTTTCAATACCATCAATTGAATTTTTGTCTTTAACTAATGAAGGTACTTGAAGGAGTCGAGTAACTAGGCTGTCCATTGATGGGACTTGATCACCAGCTAACATTTGATCACGTACATGATCAAAATCTGAGTGTAGACTTCTTAGAATTAAGATCATGTAAAACTTATCAAGCTTCTTATTTATGCCTTCTAAAGAATCAGCCACAAAGAAATTCTTCAATTCTTTTACGGCAGCACGAGCCTTTCCTATGTGAGCAACCATATCATGATTGGCTTGTTTGAGGGAAGTCACTCTTTGAGTTGCATCAAAGAGACGTTGCACATCATTAACAAAGATATCCTGTGCTTTTTTCCAAAAAGAGGAGCACGTTTTGTAAGGTCTCAAAATTTCTAAGACCTCTTGTTCAACAGATTGCCATAGGACAACACATAATTGAAAATCAAGCTTTTGCCATTGAGATTTCTCTTCATCAAGTACAATGGAAATATCTTGTTCAAGATGATCATGGTATCCTTGACCAAGAAACCATAACTCCACGGAAGAAGACCAAGATAGATAGTTTTTCCAATTTAGTTTTGCAGAAGTAATGGTAGGGGTAGCAGACAGAGAAGGTGTTCCAAAACCAGAAGTCATTCTAATGCCAAACAAAAGAGAGAAAAACTGATTATGGGAAGAAACCCTAATCGGAGCTACTGTCAACGGAACGGCAAAACAGTGACCACAACACACTCAAGAGACTGAGGTAAAACGATCGGCAATGGCGTGGTGATGTTCCGGCACGAAAAAGGTGGCGCGTGAAGCCCACGCACTCAAGACTGGCTAGAAAGAAGCGGCGCGTGACGGCGCATCAAGAGAAGAAAGAAGTGGCGACCACCAGGGATGGGTCGCGCTCGTCGAGGCACACGTAACCCTTGACTTCACCGGAGAAAAAACTGCGGCGGACGGCGGTGGCAACTGCGACGGCGGCGGCGGACAGCGGCGATAGACAGTGGCACTAGATAGTGGCAAGCAGCGGATAACGGCAGCGGAGGAGCGGATAACGGCAGCGGAGGAGCGGAACGGCAGTGGAGCGGAACGGCTGCGGCAGCAAACCCTAATTCGCTCTCGATTACCAACTTAAAATTAGGAGAGAAACTGAAAATATTTTTATTATTGCTGCTCTCCTTTCCTAATACACATATTACCCTATTTAAGGGATAGTAGATCAACATAAAAAAGGAAAAACAGAAAGCTCCTGTAAAGCCCACTCTAAAAATACATTATATTTCAACAGATATAATGGGAAAGGGGATTAGGATAGAAGGCAGAAGAATTGTATAAATAGATTGATTGGTTAGTTAGAAGGGGGTTTTTTAGTACATTGTTTGTTGACATGCCTTAGACCTGTGAAGAGGGTTATGCCTCTGAATTCTTTCTGTACAAATACTCTTACTGGAAATAATATTCAGTTTTCTCTCTTTCTTGTGTCTTCTTGGTGAGTGAGAGAGTCTTTGATTAGGTTCCCAATTCAGGAACCTATCAATCAGGGAACAATCTTTTGTCAAATTTTTTATCTTGGGACCAGAAATATACAAGTCACGTTGACACATTCCATATATGACATCTTTAGTTTGTTTGTAGCTAGGTTTCTGATTAAAGTTTATCTAAATCAGGGACTGATATGTTTGTTTGATTAGCTTGTTAGCTAAATGGTTACATTTAAATTGTTGTTGCTTACATGTCATGGATGTTATTTATGTTGTTTTAGGGTTTTAGTCTCATTCAGTTCCTTGCTGAATAAGTGTTTTTCAGCGTGGAGTTGCATCATGTTCATTGCGTTCTTTCTCATCTATTGAAATTGATGATTGTCCTATTTAGCATCTTTTATAACACAAACTAATTTTTATTTTCAATTTACTTTGAATCTTTCTGACATNGGCATCCTATTGATTAGAAAACATGCAGTGATGCACAGGAATATCAGTATTCAACATCAGGGAGCGTGTAGTTTCAATGAGATGTCTATTCTTTCTCTTTGCAATACCATTTTGCTGTGGAGTGTGAGGATATGTTGACTGATGTAAAATTCCTTGGGAAGATAAGAATGAAGAAAACGTTGTAGAAAAATATTCCTTAGCATTATCACTACGGGGGATTTTAATTGTCTTCCCAAATTGGTTCTTGGGATGGCCCAAACGATGATGCAAAAGTTTTGGGGATGAAGTTGTAAAACAGGAAACTGAAGAGTTATGTTTTAAGAAATAAAGTCCTCGAGACTCATGTCCTTCTCCAATCAGACGACCCGTACCATGTTCCTGTATAACAAAGGAATTAGCAGTAAAGGTTACAGAACAATTTAAGGAACGAGTCAATTGTCTTAAGGAGATTAAACTTTGGATCCATTGGCAACAGTAATGAAATGAGGGGTTTTCGGAGAGTACATGGAAGAAAATGAAGAAATATTACCAGAGATATGGTCTGAGGCACCTGAGTCAAGGATCCATGGGCTATGACCTTCCACAGCAGGCAGTTGACACATTGGACATGGAGGAGGATTGGTCAGGATTAGAGGATTTTCCAGACTTGTACCTCAAAAATTCTTGGTACTCTTCATTTGAAATTTTGGATTCTAGATCATCAAATTTAGAAACATGAGCAACTTTGTCTGGATATCCATGTAAGGCATAACATTTCTCTCGAGTATGGCCTATTTTCTTACAATATGTGCATTGAGGACGCATACTATGACCACCACGTCCTCCTCGGTTGCTTCTTCCTCCTTCTCTTCCTTGTGGTGCTACCATAACTGATGTTTCAATACCATCAATTGAATTTTTGTCTTTAACTAATGAAGGTACTTGAAGGAGTCGAGTAACTAGGCTGTCCATTGATGGGACTTGATCACCAGCTAACATTTGATCACGTACATGATCAAAATCTGAGTGTAGACTTCTTAGAATTAAGATCATGTAAAACTTATCAAGCTTCTTATTTATGCCTTCTAAAGAATCAGCCACAAAGAAATTCTTCAATTCTTTTACGGCAGCACGAGCCTTTCCTATGTGAGCAACCATATCATGATTGGCTTGTTTGAGGGAAGTCACTCTTTGAGTTGCATCAAAGAGACGTTGCACATCATTAACAAAGATATCCTGTGCTTTTTTCCAAAAAGAGGAGCACGTTTTGTAAGGTCTCAAAATTTCTAAGACCTCTTGTTCAACAGATTGCCATAGGACAACACATAATTGAAAATCAAGCTTTTGCCATTGAGATTTCTCTTCATCAAGTACAATGGAAATATCTTGTTCAAGATGATCATGGTATCCTTGACCAAGAAACCATAACTCCACGGAAGAAGACCAAGATAGATAGTTTTTCCAATTTAGTTTTGCAGAAGTAATGGTAGGGGTAGCAGACAGAGAAGGTGTTCCAAAACCAGAAGTCATTCTAATGCCAAACAAAAGAGAGAAAAACTGATTATGGGAAGAAACCCTAATCGGAGCTACTGTCAACGGAACGGCAAAACAGTGACCACAACACACTCAAGAGACTGAGGTAAAACGATCGGCAATGGCGTGGTGATGTTCCGGCACGAAAAAGGTGGCGCGTGAAGCCCACGCACTCAAGACTGGCTAGAAAGAAGCGGCGCGTGACGGCGCATCAAGAGAAGAAAGAAGTGGCGACCACCAGGGATGGGTCGCGCTCGTCGAGGCACACGTAACCCTTGACTTCACCGGAGAAAAAACTGCGGCGGACGGCGGTGGCAACTGCGACGGCGGCGGCGGACAGCGGCGATAGACAGTGGCACTAGATAGTGGCAAGCAGCGGATAACGGCAGCGGAGGAGCGGATAACGGCAGCGGAGGAGCGGAACGGCAGTGGAGCGGAACGGCTGCGGCAGCAAACCCTAATTCGCTCTCGATTACCAACTTAAAATTAGGAGAGAAACTGAAAATATTTTTATTATTGCTGCTCTCCTTTCCTAATACACATATTACCCTATTTAAGGGATAGTAGATCAACATAAAAAAGGAAAAACAGAAAGCTCCTGTAAAGCCCACTCTAAAAATACATTATATTTCAACAGATATAATGGGAAAGGGGATTAGGATAGAAGGCAGAAGAATTGTATAAATAGATTGATTGGATAGTTAGAAGGGGGTTTTTTAGTACATTGTTTGTTGACAGGCCTTAGACCTGTGAAGAGGGTTATGCCTCTGAATTCTTTCTGTACAAATACTCTTACTGGAAATAATATTCAGTGTTCTCTCTTTCTTGTGTCTTCTTGGTGAGTGAGAGAGTCTTTGATTAGGTTCCCAATTCAGGAACCTATCAATCAGGGAACAATCTTTTGTCAAATTTTTTATCTTGGGACCAGAAATATACAAGTCACGTTGACACATTCCATATATGACATCTTTAGTTTGTTTGTAGCTAGGTTTCTGATTAAAGTTTATCTAAATCAGGGACTGATATGTTTGTTTGATTAGCTTGTTAGCTAAATGGT